CTTTGCTAAAGAAAGGGTAAAAGGTAACTGTTAATTTGAAAACTGCCACTTCATGACATCACACAGTGGAGCTGAACATTTTGAGCTTTGGAGATGCAGACAAACTAATAAACAAGGGTTACTCAAATATGTGACTAAAACAAAACGCAACTCCAGGTATGTTTTTGTGGAAGTAACTGGATTATAACATGACTAAAAACTCATGAAAAATGAAAAACAAACAAACATGTAAGTAAGATTGATTTAATGTCACACTGTGGAACATTCCTGAAGTATTAACAGTTCCATATAGACAAGGAGATGTGGCCCCTCCAACAGAAAAGTTACGTGGTGCATCTTAAAGGAGATTGCGCTGCATTAGGCATCTGTTCCTGTCTTATTTCAGTCATGAACAATTATAATATTGAAATGTTCTCATCAAACAAGCAATAAATACATATATAAAATATGTATATCTAAAGGTTACATAGTGTAATATTGAAATATTAAATTACCTTTAAATTAACATAATTTTCAATCAGGATAGTTCTTATTCCTCATAGCAGTTCTAATACACCAGTCTGCTCTCTCTATGATAGTATTTTCCTTTTTGTTTCCATTTGAAACGTGATTGGCTGATGGCTCCAAATCCGCCTCTCTCCGGGGAGCTCCGGAGGCAGAGGAGACCATTGTCCGAGAGCAGAGCTGTGGTCCCGACTGGAGGACTGGGATTGGATTACAGCGAGTTCAGACGCAGCTGTGCACGTTTCTATGAAGACTTTTCATCTGCAAATGTCAATACACAATAAACAGGAAATAATCCAGAGTGGTGCTTTACAAAATGAGCATGATCTAATAGTTCAATGTCTTCAGTCAGTCAGTATGTGTGCAATAGCTGAACTGTATTTGAACGGGAGAGAAAGGCCAATAAAAAAGCATTGAATTTGTTTTGGTTGTTTAAATCCTTATAATGAAATGAATTCAAAGCTAATGTAAAATCCAACAATAGATACACAGCAAATGCATGTAATAAATTATGTAATTAAAGGTGCATTATGTCACTTTTCTGGTTAACTGTTTGTCTTCATGGTGATGGTATTGCTTTGTTTGGAATGTTCCACAGTATAATATTTTATCATGTATTTATAATTAGAAGTGCTCCTATTGGTAAAAAGTTTATCAAAAAACTAGCATTCTTGCTGCTAGTGGGTTCATCCCTCTACAGATTTGACTTTTAACTGGGCCTGGACCTGTTTGTTGCCATGGAGACAGATACATTGTCATAGTGTGGAACATTCTAAACAATGCATAAACATCCCCACTGAGACCAGCAGGTGGTGGACTCTCCATCTGAAAAGATACATAGTATACCTTTAGGTGAAACATTACATTATTTTCTGATCTATGCTATAAAGTTGTTTCCTCATCAAAAACATACCAGGAGTTGTATTTTGTTTCATTTACACATGTTTAACATACAAACCCTGCATTTTTACGTTGACTTATTCTCTCAAACAGAAAACACTCCACCTTGTGATGCCATGTGGTATATACTGGCATACACTGTCGTTAGAATCATTTGGATGATTTCAGAATTTCCAACATAACGAGAAACAGAGCATTTTAAGCTTTGGAGATGTACACAGACTAATAATAAAGAGTTACTTAAACATGTGAATGACAAAAAACTCAACTCCAGGTACAACATTATAACATGGCTTAAAGCTCACAATAGTCAGTTTTGTGTAATATAGGACCTTTAAGTACACTCCAATATACTCTCATGTTGTACTTATTATGAAAAAGTTGACTCATCACCAGACAAGGCAAGTTTATTTGTATAGCACAATTTGTACACAAAGCTATTCAAAGTGCTTTGCAGAATAAGAAAGACATAATAATCACAATATAAACAACTCAAAACATTAATAATCACCATAAAATTTACATTAAAAGAGAAGAGAGAATAGAAACCTTTCAGTCATATGCACAGCTAAACAGAACATTATCACTCTTATATTTTGTTATACAGTGCAAACAAAGAGACCCGGATACTTTGGAAGCTGGGACAAGGCGGAGCTAAAGTCTAAACCGGCAGTACCACATGTGACTGTACAGGCCCAGAGTATGTGAAAGGCCCATTGTAAGAGAGAGAGAGAGAGAAACACACACAAGCACGCACACACGCGCACACACACACACACACACACACATGCACACATAGATCAGACCGAACCTGCATTGACCCCGAGTGACTAGGTGTAAGATGACATCACTGTGTTCTGTACTGTTGTAGTCTATTCTCAAATTGACTCCTATAACTCCGCTGAAACTGTGAAAGATACTGGACTATATTCATACCTGTACTTCACACAACTGTACAACAACTCACCCTTATGTAACAGATAACCCTGTGTCAATCACTATTTCATCTTTGCACAGTTTCTCCTTCCCCACCTCCATATATCTATATATAACTAGTTTATGCCACTAGTTTATGACTGGGAAAAAAAAAAAAAAAAAAAAAACATGCAGTAAATAAATAGCAGAATGAAACAGTTTAGTACTACACTTTAGTTTGTATCTATAACAAGTCACAGAAGTGATTTTTTTTCAACCTTTTATGGCTTTAATCTTATCATATAGCCAAAAATGTAACCAAAAATTTCCCATAGCGCAAAGAAATTGTACACATACGATAAATACTGACCCCTTAATACATTGTTCCAGCTTCCATATATTGAACAATAAGTCGATATAGTAATTATCGTGACAGGCACAGATAATGTAAATAATTACAACTTCAGTTTTTTATGATGATTACTATAGGATGACCCCAGCTCTGTCCTTACCATTCCATTACCTCTACCTCAGGGTATTTGTGTACATTCTCCCTAAAGCACTGCAAACTGATTTTCAAGTATTTGGAACAAGCTCAGACTGCAAATATCGTATATAAACATGTTTTGCATTTCATGATTTATTCAAAGGATCTTGCAGACACAGGGATGACATTAAAGCTTTGGTCCTTTTAAGCTGATGGAGACTTATCAACCACATTAGTTCTCGATGAAGATAGAATACTATACTGTGAAACATTCCAGACAAAGCAATAACATCTCCATGGAGAAAAACATTTGACGGATCCTAAAACAGAAGTCACACAATGCACCTTTTTCTTTGGACCACAGCAGAAAGAGAAATACATGGAGAAAATTGGCGAGTGACTGAGTAGTTTAACCTACCTTTTAATTTATGAATATATTGTTTTTCACTCTGAACAAGATTGTTTTTATCTACAGCAAATCTCTGTACTTTACTTAGTAAGACTAACTCTAACATTACTGATTGAAGTTGTAGTAGCACACAACACTACAGCGAGTTCATACTGCTCCCACTTCTCTAAACTTACCTGTGTACACAATGTAAAGGTAAGGTACAGTTCCCACGCCTATACATTGACCACTGCTCAGACTATCCAGAGGGTATCAACCTGAAACACTGGGTTTGTTACAAAAGACGTGGAAACAGAGACTGCAAGGCAAATTCTAAGTAGAACTAGAATACTGTAGACACAGCAACAGAGGAGGAAAGAGGAGCTAAAAAAAAAGAAAAAAAAAGAAAAGAAGAGCTCACCTAAATAGTTATTTCAAAATAATATTACTCAGATAGAAGTACAAAATAGTGGTCCATGAAATTACTATTTTTCTTATTTTTTATTTATTTAGCCTGTAGTAATAGTGTCTCATAGGAGCAGTGATAAGAGGCAATCCTGGTGTAAGGTTATCCACAGAGACACGGCCACCAGTGGATTCGGAGCAGCTCACTGTATCATAGAGCGAAACTACAGATCCTCAGATATAACAAAATAGGTGAAAGTGTCAATTTCCCCTAAATATTCCCAGGGAGTTAATCTGGGTTATGATGCAGATTTATCATTTATCACTCAGTGGAATTTTTGAAGTCATATTTAGAACTTTCTACAACCCTAACTGTAAAGATGTAAAACCTTTCTGGAGAAGGATACACCACCTCTTTGTCTCCACAGAGATGTATTTTTGCTTTGCTAAGAATGTTCTTCAATATGGTAGGCAATATTGCATAAACTGGCTCTTGTGAGCTTTAAGTCATGTTATGATGCTGTTACCTCATCAAAAACATACCTGGCATTATGTTTTGTTTCATTACGTTTGAGTAATCCTTTATTATTAGTCTGTCTAAATCTCCGAAACTCAAAATGTGTTGTTCCACCTTGTGATGTCATGCAGCTGTAGTTGTCAAGTTAACAACTACCTTTTACCCTTTGCTCCCTTTGTAGAAATGAGCAATTCCAGAGCTAAAATTATACAAATGAAGGTGTAGTTAGTGAAGGTGTATGAAGTTTAAAAACACAGTAGAACACTTCCTATATTATCGCATGACAACACAAGGTGTAACAGAGTGTTTTCTGTTTCAGAGAAGAACTCAGCCTAAATATGTAGGATCTCTGTGTTAAACCTGTGTGAATAAAACAAAACACGACTCCGGGTATGTTTTTGGTGAGGAAACAATATTCTAATGTAGATCAGATAATATGGGCTGTTTAAACTTGTCTATATCCATGGAGCCATCCACCTGGCCATGTAACAGGTCAGCAGGTGAGAGGTAAGCATGCATGTTTTTCAAGGTATGTCTGAAACAAGGTAAACACATATTACTAAAAAATAGGTATGTGTAATTATATATTGTGGAACATTCCAGACAAATCAATAACACCTCCAAGGAGACAAGCAAGTTTTGTTATCTGCAGTCGCAATCTCTACCGGAGATTTTGCAGTGCACCTTAATCCAGTTATCTTTTTGATTGCGGTGCCAACATTAGATAATATTATCAAATAACAATAAAGATAAAATCATAAGCTCTAATAAGTTCAGTGTGCCCATATGAAGATCACTGACTCAATGTTTGCCTGTTGGATTACCACTTTGAAATATCACAGGACCTGCAAACAAAACCACACTGGCCACAAGATTTTGACGCATTCTTTTATTACATAACACTTTGACAATCATATTCATGAAACAACGAGTCCTGGTTTAATTTAACAAAACTAAATATATAATCAAAGTTTATACAGTCTTCTTTCCGTCTTTGTTCAGTTTGTTTTGCATGTACTTCATCGAGGCAAGGCCAACAAAAAGGGAAGAAATCGCAAGAACCAGGAAAAACACAGATGCCCACCAAATTTGACTTTCTCCAAAAATGTCTACAGTGTTCTCTCTATTTATCTCGTATTCCTGGTAGAACGCCTCCAGCTGGCAAAGAGTGGTAAGTGACAGCAATACATGGAAGAGCTGGTGTCCGTGTCCGAAGAAATCAAATTTTCCTGGAAAGAAGTATTCAGGAATCGGACAGGAGAAGAAGACAGCAGAGCTGAAGAAAAACAAGATCTGAAGGGCGTGGAAGTTCAGAGATGGTTCCTCTTCCCAGGATCCAGTTAGCAAACGGTGCACAACAGGGCTGATTCCCAAAAAGTACGCTAGGCTAGATGGGATCAGCTGGCAAATTTTACGTTCCATCGGATACGGTTTGTGATACCTGGATTTCGCAATGCAGCAACCAAGACATGACATCAATCCCAAAAACGCCGTCCCAGGGAGAAAATACTGTCCGAAAATGCTAGCTCTCCACTCGGGCGCCGACGTGTAGAAGTAATGTCCTAGTGCGCAGCCATACTGGTAAACTGCAACTCCTATATAGTCCATGAAGAAGACACAGTAATGAGCTCGTTCGGAGTGCGATTGAAACATGTGAGCCACTGAGCTACAAGAGTAACAAATCAGGACGGAGGCAATGAACAGGCAAAGAGGTAGCACCGAAATGTCCAAAGGGTTCCCCAGGGCCCCAAAATGGCTCCACCAGCGAAGCAGCAGGATGGGCACAGCCAGCAGGTGACTCCACACATTGAGGGTTTCATTGTGTTTTTGGAAGAGGCTAAAGAGGTAGCAGTACCAGTTTTGGTGGAGGGGGCGGTACCCGGTGAGAATGTAGGGCTCTCGGAAAAGCAAAGGGACCTGGGATGCGCTCACGGTGGGCTTAAGAGAGGGTAAGGAGGAGGGGAGGCACTGGACGAGATTTGGGATGCGGCCGAACTGTTTGACGCTGACGGTTAGCGTGGTCAGGCGCTGTAGCACGAAGGCTGACATGGTGAGGAAGAGCCACAGGAGGGCGCCAAGGCAACCTACAACAAGAAATGGACACAGTCAGTTGGATGTACAGTAGTATTGTCACAATATTGATACTTGAGATTTCAAACTGGAGATCTAGGCCAAGGAAAAAAAATGATATTTTGCAGTGACCTCATGCTGGGGGTGTCCTACATATATGTGTATTTTGGCGGAATGTTCAGAGGTCACCATGGAGACACAATGCACACAGTAGCAAACACTGGCAAACAAGTTTTAAGATCATCTGAGAACTCAAGAAAAAAACTAAATGGATTTAAACAGCACATTTTCAGGAGGCTGTGATCAGTACAAGTGTTCATCGTCCTGTGCAGCTCACCTATAGTATTTTCATCAAAGTTGGTTCTGTCTGGCAAGATTGTGTTAAACTTTAATCTTTAGCAATTTTAACAAGCCTCGAATAAAGTGCTGACAGTAAGCATCACACGCACAGGGAGTGTAGATGACATCAGCCGCAAAGTATCAATAAAATGGATTTTTCAACACAAAATACTAACAGGCTCTTTTCCATGTTAGAATAATTATGATAGTTATGAAGGTCCTGTTTGTGTGTGTGTGTGTTCTTTTGTTTTGTTTTTTTGCCAAGCTCAAATTAATATCTAGATTTAATACTAGTTTTAGCATCAGTTAATATTTGGGCACGATACTTTTGAGAACCCTATTAAGATATGTATTTTGTTTTGTAATCAATTAGACAATGTTGGGAAAAATATCACAAAATATTTCATTAAACTGTGTACTGCATTGGCAAATACAGCAATTTAATATAATAATAGTAATAGTTGTGGTATTTTCTCTCTCAGTATATAACACTGAGAAATTTTTTATTGTTTTATTATCTTCCTCTGACAGGCTCATCCATGTAGCAGTGTTTGCATTAAGAACACACCCAGTTAATCTTAAACACTGTCAGGCAACCTTTACTTCACCAACAATAATACTACAACTGTATTGCCACGCCACTGCTCTGTCTGGAATGTTCCACAGTATGACATTAGCTCTTGTATTTATTCAATTAAAGGTGGTCTTATGACTCAAAAACAGCTAGAAAAACAGGCATTCTGACTGATATGTGCCCACAGATCTGACCTGTAACTTGGTCTGGTTTGGTGTCCATGAAGATAAAGGTTTAATGTTATACTGTGAAACATTCCAAACAAAGCAATTACATCTCAGAGAAGAAAAGTATTTGACGGACACTCTACCAATACACCTTAAAGAGTAGTTTTACTTCAACTTGAAACTACTACAGAAAAGACAAGTATAATGACACTGTTTGCATTCCCACCTAACTGGAATAGCTAAGTATATGAGACAAAACAAGTTAATTATATAAACTTGAATCTACATGGACCATGCATTCCTCCCCAGACAAGTCACCCACGCTAGACGCACATGCAGAAAGAATGCAGTGGAACTTGTATAAAACAAAACAGGCCTCTCTCTCCATGGATGCGAGCTTCGGGTGTGTTGACAACCAGATATTGAGAAAGTAGCACCCAAATGTTGTAGTTAAGATGCACTGTGTAACTTTTCTGGTGTTTGCCATCTGCTTTTCTCATGGAGGTGGTATTGATTTGCCTGGAATGTTCCACAGTATGACATTAAACAGCTCTTATATTTATTCAATTACAGGTGATTTTATAGCTCAAAAATACCTAGAAAAACATGCATTCTGACTGTGAGTAGGATTTTCTCTCCAGACAAAGCAATAGCATCTCCATGGAGGAAAACATTTGACATGGATCCTCCACTAGAAATGTTTCACAATGCACCCTTAAATCTGCACTATGTAACTTTTCTGGTGTCTTCCATCTGCTTTTCTCATGGAGACTGCATTGCTTTGGTTGGAATTTTCCACAGTATGGCATTAAGCTTGTCTATTTTGCATTTGTTCAATTGTAAATGTTTAATTAATTCATTCATTGTTATTAATTGTGTAGATGTTTTATTACTTAAAAATACCTTGGAAAACATTTAAATTTTCTTTTTATCAGTGTCACCTCCCACATATCTTACCTAGAACTTGCCTGGGTGGAGTTACCTGCTTGTCTCGTAGATACACTTAATGCTAGGTTAATACTGTGGACTATTGCAGAAAGGCTACATAGGGCTCCGTAATAGTTGTAAATTGTAAGTATAATTCCACAAATGAGATTACTCATGTCTAAGAGATAGGAATGATCAGAATAATGACTCACTGGATATAGTTTGGGCTGGATTTGACAAAAAACATGTGCAAATTCTTCCAATCTCAAAGTTACTTCAAAATAATATTCAAGCAAAAGTATAAAGTGTGAAAAAACTATAAAAATCTGCTTGACTGTGTGTGTAACTGAGTCATTAGTTTCTGTGTTGACAACTATAGAAAGCACATGGAGCTGTAGGGAACCCTCCACGGGATTGCTACCCAGGAGGGTGTGTCTCCAAAGACAGTCTGAGACACCACCTCACATCCTTCGGAGCTGGATGTTGTTTTACTGTTTCACTCTTTGAAGCCCAAAAGCCAGGCCCTTATTGCACAACGTGTACAGCCTGAGTCACAGTTTGAAGAGTAAACACAGACGCAGCTCAAGTTGAATTAAGCATGAATACAAGTTGAAGGATAACTAAAGTCAAAACATCTATATCTGGATACAAAATGAGTAATTTAGGCGAGAACACTGAGATAGCATTTACAAAACTTGTCTCTATGATGTTTTATCATACAATAATTGCAAAAAGAAACCTTCTAATTTTAGTAATTTAATTAAAATAGTATTAGCATTCACAACACTGGACAAGACTGAAACCCAACATACAATTAAATAAAACAGATAATCTAGCCTTTGAGTAGACAGACTATTCGTCAAACTAACTCGAGTCAAAACAAAACGCATGCTATAAACATTATGTAACAGGCATCCACGGGCTAATAAAGTTGATTTGTGTTATTCAAAATAATTAGGCAGATACAAAAGTGCACTGTTCCTTTAAGATTAAGACAGGACTTCAGCATTTTGCTTTTATAAGGAGCCTGCATGCAGAAGGTCAATACAAGATTTCATTAAATAGCCTCAAACTGTCTCAAATTAACCCTTCGCTTTGTTTTTAACGTCCAATCACAAGTGTTAACCGCTTCACTCCTTAGTTCTTACCTGTTTATGTGGCTGTGGCCCCTCTGGGAAGAGATCTTTCTCAGAAATCGGAAGTCCACTGGCGCTCGGAGGATTACGGTGAAGTCCCACACGCTTCACTTGCGCCACTTTATATTTGGGAGAAGAAAAAGGGGAGAGGAGAGCAGCCACATCCTCGCACCGGGGCTACCTGCAGAACTGGAAGTGAATGGGCGGAGTCCAGGTGCTTGGTCACGCCCCACAAACTCTGTTATTCTAATATCATGTACAGTAGTGGACTAAAGTCAGACGACAGCGCTTTCAGGTTTTAGTGAGGTAGTTTCTTTTCATTCACTTGTCTCTATATGTCAATATTAGTTTATATAAATAAAGAATCAGTAGCCTATGACCTACAGAAACAGAGCATATTAACCATTGCAAACTTTTAAATGAATCAAGAACATAGGCGCTACAGAAATCCACTGACTTTGTCTCCATCTGCTGGTCATTATAGTTCATCTAATAAGGACATCAAATCATTTCCCAATTACTAGCCGATCATTATTAAATTAAGTATGCCTATAGCGAAAACATTTAAAATAAAAATAAACTGCATTGTGTAGCCTACAAAAACTTCAACATTTTATTTATTAACGTTTAGGGACATTGAGAAAACTGTTTTGTCTCCATCTTGTGGAAATTGGTATGCATGATCAAGTCTAACAGGAATTTGGGATTTTCAGGACTCCCAAAGTAAAACACTACTGTAATAGTGCATGTCATTTCATAGTGAGTGAAGTGTCGTAATAGTCCATTTAACTGCATGCACTATTAATACATTTTGGATTTTGGGTCACCCGGGCAGCCTATTTTGCTGCATGACAACTGCAAAGTGTATGTTAAGGGGTGTTGTAAAAGGCTAACCTGTCCCGTCTCTATGTTTTAAAGGCCCTTAATTACACAAAATGGACTCTTTTGAGCTTTAAGCCATGTTGGAATGCTGTTTCCTCCTCAAAAACATACCTGGAGCTGTGTTTGAGTAATCCTTTGTTATTAGCCTTGCCTTGTGATATCATGAAGCTTTTTTCCAGTTAAAAAATACCTTTTAACTTTAGCTCAGTAGAAACGGGAAATTCCAGGGGTGAAATTATACAAACGATTCTTGTGAAAGTGTATGGAATTTTTAAAAAGTGTTTTCAGTTTGAGAGAACAAAATAAAGGATTTGTGTGCTAAACATATGTGAATGAAACAAACAACTCCAGGTCTGTTTGTGATGAAGAAACATAACATAACATATACTGGAAAATGGCGTAATATAGACCCTTTAATTCAACATTATTATTATCATTCTGCTTTTGGCCTACGTTCGTTTCGATAGAGGGGCAATGAGCGAGGAGAGGGCGAGAGAAAAATAGGAGAATAGAAAGAATAGAGATGAGGGGAGCAGAAGGAGGAAGAGAGAAGGGGGGGCTTCTTCCTTCTTGTGCCATTTTCGCGGCATTTGTTGCAGAAGGCGGGTTCAGTCAGTCCATCTCGCCCTCCTATTGGCTAAAAGCACCTTTACGCAGACGTTCAGTAAAACAACACGTGCCCGGCTCAACCAATCCCGAGTTACGTTTTAGCGGGAGCCGGTACGTCGTGGCGCGAAATCTCTTCAGTTGTCTGTAGAGGCTGAAGCAGGTCAGACAGCAGCTCGAATATTTGTTACTTTATAATCATTTGGAATTGAAAAAACTAATTTAAAACCATGGCCACCGACGTGCTGGACGACAGGGAGATGAGGGAGGCCCAGCGGGACTATTTGGACTTTCTGGATGACGACGTAAGGTTTTAAAATGACTTCAAAATCTCAGAATAAAGGAAGCCATGCGGTCTACATAAGTTATGAGTATTACGTAGCTACCGTATTTCTTGTTTTTAGGTGTTTAGTTGTGATTTTGATCCATAAGTTGTAGAAAATGTTAAATTGTACTAGTTCAGATCATGAGTGTGCCTTACCGATGTATTACAATTAAGCTTATGCATATTGTTTCGTTTTGTAATCTGCAGCAAGACCAGGGTGTCTACCAAAGCAAAGTGCGGGACATGATCAGTGAGAACAAAGCTCGGCTGATTGTGAATGTGAACGACCTGAGGAGAAAAAATGAGGGCAGAGCAGCGAAGTAAGTGTATTTTACTGAAGAAATAACTTGTCTGACTGTGTGGACCAATGAGAATCCATGTTGAGTTCTTATGAGTTTGTCAGACATGTTTGATTGCAAATCCCAGATTATTAAATTTTCTATTGATCTTTAGTTTCTAATGTCCATATTCTTGAAAAAATATGAATGGTAATATTATTAATTAAATAACATGAATGGAAACTAGTTGTTTTGTTATAACCTGTTGCAGTATATTGTATATTGTCCATTCAAGTGAAAGCTGAAGTGCTGTTATGCTATTGTGTCTACCAAATGTCCAGTTGACAGATGGTATGGTTTTGTTTTAAAATTTTATAGAGAAAAAGATCATAAAACTGTACGATAAACACTGAAATTACACATTTTGTAAACACAAAATTGTGGTAAAAACGATAAAAGCCTGATTTTTCATTGATATAAACACAAAAAAAGACAATAAATAAAATAAATGTATTCTCATTTACAATCTACTAAGTTAATTAACAAGTATTAACAAAACATTTATTTTTCCTAATATAACCATGTAATTGTATCTCTTTGCTTGTCTTTAGGCTGATGAACAATGCATTTGAGGAGCTGTTGGCGTTCCAGCGCGCTCTGAAGGACCTGGTGGCCTCAGTTGATGCCACTTATGCCAAACAGCATGAGGAGTTCTTCGTGGGGCTGGAGGGTAGCTTTGGTGCCAAACACGTGAGCCCCCGCACCCTCACATCCCGCCTGCTTGGGAGCATGGTGTGTGTGGAGGGCATTGTCACCAAATGTGAGTGCAATGATAGGTTTGATAATAAACCTAATTAATCCAAGTAGTGAGAGGACTGTGCAGTATAGTCTTCAGTCTCAGCATTTCATATTTAAATTACATCTACTCGTGGGTTTCAGAATTATGTTGCCATAGAGATGAACAATTTTTAACAAAATGTGTTTTCAGTCAAAGTTTAATTTTGGAATACTGACTGTAGATGTGGTGTTGTAGGTTCTCTGGTGCGTCCCAAAGTGGTGCGCAGCGTCCATTACTGTCCCGCCACCAAGAAGACCCTGGAACGGAAATACACAGACCTGACTTCACTGGACGCCTTCCCATCCAGCGCCGTCTACCCCACAAAGGTAAAGGAAGGATACGATGGACATAAGCTACTCCTCTTTTTGCCCCCCAAGATTTCTGCTTGCTTGTGTCAAAATAATGAAAGCCAAATATCTTCAATGGAGCCCAACAGTTTCCAGGTTACCAGTTAAAGTTTTCTGTAAACATTTCAAAAATGACTTCTTGTTCTTGAGACTCAATACTCAATCAACTTCATGGACTAATCTAACTGTCATTAAGATTTTGTATCTTGTTTTTTCTTTTTACCTAGGGGCCAAATAATAATAATCGGTCTGCAATAAAGAATAAATAATACAAAAATAAAAGGCACAAGGTGACTTAATGGTCACTAGCCAAGCTAGTGACCATTAAGTTGAAATATATCGTAGGAGATAGGATATAGTTGGTTGAAATTAAGACCACCCAACTATGGAAAGGTTAGTGTAATTTTCATTTTCTGCATAACTTTTTGTCTCATGTTTGTTTATTCTCCACAGGATGAGGAGAACAACCCCCTGGAGACAGAGTTTGGCCTCTCCATTTACAAAGACCACCAGACCATCACGGTTCAGGAGATGCCAGAAAAGGCTCCTGCTGGACAGCTGCCCCGCTCTGTGGACATCATACTGGACAACGACCTGGTAGACCTGGTCAAACCCGGGGACCGTGTGCAGGTGGTGGGCACCTACCGCTGTCTGCCTGGCAAAAAGGGGGGCTTCACCTCAGGGACCTTTAGGTGAGAATACTGAGGTGTAGGTTAAACCGTCTTCATTTGACTTCAAGAGTGGCAATGTTTTGTATAAATTTTCATTACCTTGGTTTGGCTTTACATGATAATTTGCAAAAAGAAGAACTGGTAGACTGGTTTAAAAAAGTATTTAAATTTTTAAAGTTTTACTTTAAAATTATATAATTAAATAAAATACAATTTTATGATTTTGCTCTTTGATGATTGTCCTAATACTTATGTGTAAATCCACTCTTTCCTCAGGACCATCATGATCGCGTGTCATGTCAAACAGATGAGTAAAGAAGTCTCTCCATCCTTCTCTGCCGATGATGTGGCCAAGATCAGGAAGTTCAGTCAGACACGCTCCATTGTAAGTAAAATATGATATAAATAAAATTAAGATTTAAAAACTGGAGCAGTTATCCACTTCCACCTAATGCCATTTTGTCAATGTTCTAGGACCCATTTGACCAGCTTGCGCGCTCCCTGGCCCCTAGTATCCACGGACATGAGTACATAAAGAAGGCCATCCTGTGCATGCTGCTGGGAGGAGTGGAGAAGGTCCTGGAGAACGGGTCTCGCCTCAGAGGAGACATCAATGTCCTGCTCATCGGTACGAAACAAGAGTTAACACTGAACCAAGTGACTGTCGAGATTGTTTTTATGTTGATAATAGGATAAACATACAGGTTCTCTCAATCCTTCCTTTTAGGACTATAAAGGTAATTCAGATTAATCAGTAATTACTTAAAGAAAATAATAATTTCTAGTGCATTTTGGGTGCTGCTGCTCACTGTGCTAATTACCCATTTTAATAGTACATTTTTATTGCTGTATGGTGACCTTAAATGTTAAAGGTGCCCAAAATAAGTATGATTTGAAGATGCCAAGACTAATCTTGAGTTTTTAGTCCATATACAGGTTGATAACTATTAACATTAAATTTGCCTTTCCAGGGGATCCGTCAGTTGCAAAGTCCCAGTTGCTGCGTTACGTGCTGCACACAGCGCCCAGAGCCATCCCCACAACTGGCCGCGGGTCCTCCGGTGTAGGTCTCACTGCTGCAGTTACCACCGACCAGGAGACTGGTAAATACATTTGTGATAAAGGTGAAGGCTGCTATAGAAGTGTGTCTGACATAACCAATTTAACTGCTCTAACTTCAACTCCTTAACAATTAATGCCCCTCCAATTACGTTCTTTATTCTAATCTGACCCATATACCTATAAATGTTTATACTGAGAGTCCACACACTAGAACTAGAACTAAGCCTGGTGTATATACTAAATGTATATCTATCGCAGATTTTGTGAATTGAAGGTGCATTGCGTAACTTTTCTGGTGAAGGGTCCCCTGCTTGTCTCCATGGAAATGTTATTGCTTTATCTAGAATGTCTAGAATGTGAGATCAGAACTATCTCAAGAGACAACTATAGGCTACTTTATTGTGGAGAGGCAGCCCAATTTGCAGAGAAAATTGTCTTTTTGAGCAATAGACACCCATAATGGATAGGTGCTAGATGGGCATGTTTAAAGTCATAACATGGAACATTCCAGGCAAAGCACTAAAATCTCCACAGAGACAAGCAGGTGATGGAACCGCCACCAGAAGTTGCACGATGACTATGGGATTGTACTATGATAATAACAAATCTAAAATCCCCCTCTTCTCACAGGTGAGCGGCGTCTGGAGGCAGGAGCCATGGTTCTGGCTGACCGCGGCGTCGTGTGCATTGATGAGTTTGACAAAATGTCTGACATGGACCGCACGGCCATTCATGAAGTGATGGAGCAAGGCAGGGTCACCATTGCCAAAGCTGGGATTCACGCCAGACTCAATGCTCGCTGCTCTGTGCTGGCTGCTGCTAACCCGGTCTATGGCAGGGTAAGAAATTTAAGGTGCACAAATGTAACTTTTTGGCTGGGGGTCCATCTCCTCTTTTCTATGGATATGATGGGCATTCTGACTGAGCGGGGTTGCCTCTCCACACATCTAAATTGTAACTTGGTCTGGTTTGGTCTCCATGAAGGTAGAAAGGTTTAATATGACACTGTGAAACATTCCAGACAAAGTGATAACATCTCCATGGAGAAAAGCATTTGACGGACCCTCCACCAGTTGCACAGTGCACATTTAAAGTCCACCTGCATTCTTAAAGGAACCAGAGAAACAGCAATCAAGAAGCACATGGTTCTCATCCAACAATATGCCTTGTCTTTACAGGCCAACCAGCTATATTTTCCAATGTTCCCCACATAAAAATAAATGCTACCATCTGGATATTTTTGTGATAATTCTGAAGTAGAATGTGGTATACTAAATGATTTAAAATTGTTTATGCCCATGTGTGCAGTATGATCAGTATAAGACTCCCATGGAGAACATCGGGCTGCAGGATTCTCTTCTGTCTCGTTTCGACCTCCTCTTCATCATGTTGGACCAGATGGACCCGGAGCAGGACCGCGAGATCTCGGACCACGTCCTGAGAATGCACCGCTACAGGGACCCCCGTGAACAGGAGGGAGCAGGTACTATAGAATTAAAGGGGCTGATGGTCTATTGATATGCTAGTAGAAAAACTGAGATATTAGTAAAGCGTTACAAGAATGAGTAGTTTACAGTCTAAAAAACGCATAGCAAAAATCTAAGGTATACTGTCTAAAGCAGACTTGAACTTATTCATGCATTTGTCTTCAGTAGGTTAGACTACTGTAACAGGCTACTCATTGGCCTTTCCAAACAAGCTGTGAGACAGCTGTGGTACATCCGGAACGCTGCTGCTCAGGTCCTGACACAAACCAGGAAGTACGAGCACAAGTACATCTCTGGCATGTTGCTGCCATATGAACCATCTTGCCCTCTGGGTACCAACAAGAGGCAGGTCCCTGAGCTCCTCAGAGTCGGGACTAAACTGGAGTCAGCATTTCAGTTTTATGCAGCTAAAACCAAAACAGCCTTCCTGAAGATGTGAGACAGGCCTCTACTTTAAATCCAGGCTCAAAATGGTTCCGTTTAGCTGTGCAGAATGAAAATCTTTCAGTCATCTGCACTTTTCTCATTTAATGTCTCTTTTTTTAATTTTATAATTTATGTTTTGATTTGTTTGTATTTCTTATTCTTAGTATGCATTTATTACTTTGTGTGAATTGTGCTATAGAAATAAGCTTACCTGTTTTAGGCCCGTGAACGTTGACTTATATCATGTTTCTTTTGTGTGTGCAGCCATGGCTTTGGGCGGGACTGTGGACGTCCTGGCCACAGACGACCCTGATGCAGCTGCACAAGAGCAGGAGGAGCTTCAGGTTTATGAGAAACACAACAACCTGCTGCACGGAGTCAAGAGAAAGAAGTGAGTTTATTCTACAACCACAAAGTTTAAAGTAACAACGATGGTTCACAAAAAGGATGAACTAAAAGATGAATACAAAACCTTCCTCGCTGTTGCCAGATATTTTGCACCACAACAACTTCAGGAATATGTCTCCCTGCCCCTCACTGATGAGTTATACCTGTCATTGTAGCAAGTATTGCAAAATTTAACCAATACCAATGAGATTTGTACAAAAATGCATTGTAACTCAGGCAAAAGAAAATTCGATTGTTAACAAGCCAAAAGTTTTTGACTCTCCTACAACTTCTACAACTTACAATGAAACTAGTGCTTTAAATTTAACCTTGGGGGCAATATCTTTGTTCCATGCTAGCTTGAATTAATCTTTAAAAAAATAAATGTAACGATAACCCTTGACCCTTTAAGAAAACTAGGTATAATTTACCAGTACTATATGAACCACATCTAAACCAGGTCTAATTGCTGTGTCTCAGGGAAAAGATCGTGAGTAAGGAGTTCATGAGGAAGTACATCTGCATCGCTAAAGCTGTGACGCCGGTGCTGACAGAGGAGGCTGCCAATCACATCGCAGAAGAGTACTCCCGCCTAAGGTCCCAGGACCAGCTGGGCACGGACATCGCCAGGGTGAGGGGACCAGGGACAAATGGAAAATAAACACTCAAAACATGTTAGACTTTGAAGATGGCTTTGCACATTAAACATCACTCAGTACAGTTAAATTGCATTGTGTAAATGGGCTGATTTTAATTTACCAACAAGCTACTTCCTATCATGGTCTTTAAAATAATTAGTTGCAGTCCTAATTTGGTTGGTGAGTTGGCATGTATTTTAGAATCTTGGAGTCATCCAGTTAACAGTAACTTGTATATACTATATACTGTTATTATTCTTAGTTATTCAAATAATCAATACAGTACTGGTATTGGATATTGCAGCAATACATCTTTATGGAACTGATATCTGTTCCAAGGTATCTGTTTGGTTGATATCCTTTGGTCTATAAATAGGTGTAAAAAAACAAACAAAGGCGCAAAACACCTCTTAATTTTGAACGTATTCATTTTTTCCAAAGCTGTTCTGCTGTTAGTTCACATGATAAATACATTTTAACAGCAAAACACATTTTGGATAATTGTTTACAATACATCATTTGTTTAAAGGCAATAAATACGATCAGTCTCGGCCCCAGTATCAGTTGATATTGATTATTGGCAGATATGTAAAGCCATAGTATAGACTTTGGTTGGAACAGAAAAGGCTGGACCATTGCATCCCTAAACATTTCTAAATTGTTTTTTCAGACCTCCCCAGTGACTGCTCGAACCCTGGAGACTCTGATCCGATTGTCCACGGCTCACGCTAAAGCCCGAATGAGCAAAGCCATTGAGCTGGAGGACTCAGAGGTTGCTGTGGAGCTTGTGCAGTATGCTTACTTCAAAAAGGTACAAACCACTAATTAGGAAAGTAACAATACACAACACAGTGTTATCAAGAGTATTTAACTCCTTAATTGCATTTTTATCCACATTCTTCAATTTCTACATTAAAATATTTACAATACATCATAGAAGTAAGACTCTGAAATGTGATTTATTTGGTCTAGGTTCTGGAGAAAGAAAAGAAACGCTCCAGAAAAGAGCATGACTCAGGCTCAGAGGAAGAGGAGGAAGATGAGACGGGGACCCAACGCTCACAGAAGACACAGAGGAAGAGGTAATACTTTTAATACTTCTGCTTGTGTAAATTAACATTAATATTTAAGCTTGAAATTGGGTGAATTACATTTTTTCTCCTTTCCACTTCTCTCCTGCAGGGTGCGCCGTGGCTCTCAAGGCAGTGAGCCCTACAGCCCCTATGACTTCACAGAAAATCAGGATGTCCCTGAGAGTAAGCATCACCGCTAATAGATATTTTGTTTCAGCCTTTTTCATTTTTTTTTTTTTTTTTTTAATATGAAAAAGATCGCACATAGGTTTGCTTGTTATGTTTTTATGTCATAAGTAGTTTCTTGGCTGTTCCTCTTCATTTTGTTTTGAATATTTACATTGTTCTGTTATTTTGTAGTTCAGGCCCGGAGCCCTAAACCCCCCAAAGCAAAAGGACAACAGGAGGAGCCTATGGATGCCACTGCAGAGGGAGAGGAACTATCAGCAGACAGGTATGTGTCTTTATCAAGTTAATTTATTTAAGTTATATTATTCTCTTGATCAGAGATTCTGAAATGCAGTTTTTGTTCAATTCTGTTGTGAACTTTTAATGGTGATCCTTCATTGTCTTACTCAGTGTTGTGTTCTGATTTGTGCATGTTTGAGTAATGTTGAATTGTCTTGCATTTGAGGCCATAGATCTCAGAAAATGTTTTTCACCAACTCAGCCCACTTCTGAGCTTGGTGTTGTCGTGCAAAAAGTCAGACTTGTATATAGGGGCATTTTACATTTATATGAAACTGTATTAATGAATTAATCATTGCATTTATATAGCGCCTTTCAAGATACCCAAAGCGCTATACAATTCATTATTCATTCCCTCCACACTTGGTGGTGATAAGCTACTACTGTAGCGACAGTTGCCCTGAGGCAGACTGATGGAAGCGAGGCTGCCAATCTGCGCCATCAGCCCCTCCAACCACCACCATCACTCACTCAGACACTACTTTCATACTAGGCAATGTGGGTAAGTGTCTAGCCTAAGGACACGATGACTTTGAGTTTTTACCACTGGCCCCCCACTGTGGCACCTGGAATTCACAGTGGTGTCCCTTCCAAGTACTAACCAGGCCCGGCCCTGCTTAGCTTCTGAGATCAGACGGGATCAGGCTTTGACAAGCCGGTATGACCAACAAATATGTCAATCAGTGTATTTTTAACATTATTTGGATCTTGTCTTTTTAGGCTGAAAGAGTTCAAGTCGTCACTGTTCTCAGTGTTCCAATCCGCACATGCTCAGTCCATCAACATGAAGGAGCTGAAGACAGACCTAAACAAAGGGCGAGAGAAGAGCTTCAGTGACACTGAGATCCGCATGGCCCTCACACGAATGCAAGATGACAACCAGGTCATGATGGCTGATGACATCATCTTCCTCATCTAGAACTTTTACTACAAAAATCAAAGCCAAATTGAAAATGTGCTGCTGCTTTCGGTCCCACTCAGTTTAGAGGTATTAAAGCTCCACTATGTAACATCTCCTTAGTGGACTCATAGTATGGTTTTCAACTTGTCTAACATGTATTTGTTCCGTTTTAATGCTTAAACTTGCCTTTTAAAAGCATGCATTCTGTGAGCTTGGTCACCTCTTCACAGACCTGACCTGTAAATATCTGGTGGCGTCTCCTACTTTTCTCTGTGGAGATGAGTGCCATACTGTGTAACATCCTAGGCAAAGCACCTCCATGGAGAAGATATGCCCATCTTCTCCATGGAGACAAGCGGGTGACGGGCCTGCCACCAGAAGATTTACACAGTGCCCTTTTAAGGCAGGGTTCCATAAGTAGGTGAGATATTGGACTTTGTTAATCTCCACATTTCCAACTGATATAACCTTTGATTTTATTTAATTTGAGAACACAGATGGCTTACAAAACTGGGGTTGACTTAAATATGAAACATAAAACTTTTACAACATGTTTTCAAAGACGAAATAGTCCCTGAGAGAAAAATGTGTTCTTAATTTGCCTCAGTCTTTCAGCAATACTGAGACGACCTGTTCCGGCAGTAGTCAATTTCCGTATATCACTTGGAAATCCCCCTCCAGAAATACAACAACATTCCTGCACAGGAGTCTACTGTCCGTGACATGGCCACTGCCCTGCACAAACTCCCCCTCTCTCCTTTGTGGTGAAACAAAAAACTGAAGAAGCTGTTGGGTTTTTTGAAAAATCTGGTTTGTTCCTTTTTGCCTGGAGCCAGTAATTTCAATATGGACTGAAAGAACATTGATATGATACTCCCAACTTTCAACAGTATGCAGTTTGATATGCACAGCACTGTGTAATTTCAAAGTACTTGGGTTTGGGGTGCTAATATGCTAAAAATGTAAAATTAGTCTAAATGCACATTTTACCAGTTGCTTTGTGCTCCCTCCACATCAGAGCAAAGAAAATTAGCAATTTTTATAGTTTGTAATGACATAAATACTGTGTCTGGTTTTGTACATAAACATGTTTTGAATTGTTGTGTATTGAAAAAAATAAATGATTTGTTATTTGTACAGATTTTTCAAACCATAGCTAATTGTAGAGCGGAGCTTGGCCAATATCTCATGCCAAATATTTAACAGAGTTGATTTAAGGCAGATGTGAAGGTGGATTTGTTATTCAAACAAAACTGAAATCTGTTTTGAAATGAAGATGTAAAATGTGTTAGAAGATTGTGTTAAGAAATGTTTTATTTGTATTATAAATATTTGGTCTGGAGTCTATGGGGTGAAGCCTAATACTATGTGACCAGAGTGAAACAAGGGCTACAAGGTGATCATTAGAAACTTTGTTGTTTTAAAATTGATTGTGGACAATTATTTGGCTCTTTTGTAAACGTTAGCAAAGGCAAACGCCAGCCAAATATGGAGAGTATGTTTACAACTAACACTGCCATCTAGAGGTCAAATTTAAGTACAGTGTTTGCAATTGTCTGGTTCATTGGTGGTGGTGCATCCAGTATCAAACTTGTAGCGTAAAAAGAACAGTTTTCTTTGGTAAATGTAAGTTACAAGATTTCATCACTGTTCTGAGGGCAGACACATGCTCATTATTTTAAACTATAGACCAGTGCTTTAGTTTTGAACTCTGTAGACCTTGTGCAATTTTGTAAACTAAAAACAAAGTGAAACAATGTGCTTTCACTTGAGAAATTTGGTTTAGCCTCAAAATGTCAATGGTTTCAGCAAATATAAAAACAAACAAAAAACATGTATGGTTGGAAAAAATGCATTTTAAGGTATGTTACGGCAATTATACCCTTTTGGGTAGCACTGATTTTAGTTGAAGTAAAATCATTATTTTTAGGATTTACATTCATGCATGAGATTTACATTCTTATACAATGGAACATATAACATAAGTGAAATCATAATAGAAATGAAAATGACTACAACAAAAAATTTGCCCAAAAAAAAACGGGAAGAAGAAAACTTATTTAATTCTAGTTTAGTTCAACTTCAGATTTATGACGTACTTAACCACAGATGCTACTATTTTTGTCAAAGTAAAATGCAAATGAAAGACAAACTATTTTTATTTTATTTGTTTATTTTTAAAAATATTATTTCTTCATCAAAAACATACCTGAAGTTGTGTTTTGTTATATTCACACATATTTAACACACAAACCTTGCATATTTAGGCTGAGTTCTTCTCTCAAACTGAAAACACTGTTCCACCTTGTGATGTCATGTGCTATGAGTGCTCCAATTTCTTTTTTTTTTTTTTTTTTTCTTCCTGGAATTGCCCAACTGTACTGAACAAAAGATAAAAGGTAGCTATTTACATGAAAACTACCCCTTCATGACATCACAATGTGGAAGAGCATTTTGATTTTTGGAGATGTAGTTAGATTAATAAAGGATTGCAAAAACAAAACACAACTCCCGGTAAGTTTTTGAAGAAGTAACAACATTAAAGCTCACTGGAGTCAATTTGGTGTAATATAAGACTTTTGTACCCTGGAAATTCAAAATGGTAGCTAAATGATGTTTAGCAATTAGCACTGATGTGAGTTCATGATTAAAATGTATTATAGTTTTATATTTCACTTTTCAGTCCTTTCCACTCATGCATTTGAACTATTCTGATGACATGTCATTTTTATGTCTCTTGCATTTAGCATAAACGAGAGCCCTTTAGCCCACCTACAGTTCCATCAGTGTAACAGTCAACTCTAACCCAGCGATTGCAGACTTTCAGTACACCCACATCTGACTCATTTACTGGATTTTCTCACCTGTTTCTTATTTGACACTCTTTTCAGAGATGATTGATTATAGGCCAAATTATATGTAGCCTGTATTGTCATTTCCTTATGGTTTTTGTTTGTATGATTTATATGGAATAGGCATAATGCATGCTTTACGTTCAAACAAAAAGATAAATCAACTATTTCTACTACGCAACCACTGTCCCATGGTAAATGTATATGTACCAGTCTGCAGCCTATTTTCAGAATATTTTTGCGTAAAAAAACCCAACAACAAATATGAGTAAATCGTATATCAATATTTAAAGCTGCACTGTGTAACTGGTTTCTGGTTGAGGGTCTGCACACCTCCAAGGAGATATTATTGCTTCATTCGAAATGTTCAACAGTATGGCATTGAACTTGTCTCCATGTACACAACTAATAACCAGGCCAAGTTTTAGGTCAGATCTGTGGAGAGGCTTACTTTAAGAATGCATGTTTTTTTTAAGCAAATAAACACAAAATATACAAGTTTATTGTCATACAGTGGAACATTCCAAGCAATGCAGTATCTCCAGGAGACGAGTAGGTGGTGGTTTAGAAAAGTTACACAAACCACCTTTAATTATAAACTATTAAAAAAAAAAAAAAAAAAACCTTGACAAATTAATTCTTAAAAATGCTGTCATTGAATAAATATAAGATTTACCTAAAATCAGAAAAAAAAAAAAAAGAAGAAAACCCCCCCCCCAAAAAAACAAATAGAATAATAGGATGCTAAAATGTGGATAATGTTTTTGAAAGTAAACTTTATTGTAGTGAATTTGAAAGAATGTGCATCTGTGGAGTTATGTAAGTAAACTGTTCTTTTCATCAGTTCTGATTAAATGTTGATGAGATTAATGTCTGTGGTGTCTACAGTTACAGAGAAGGAAGTGGGCTAGAAACAACAAGAAGGAATGTTGCATTCTCAGAAAAAATCAAAGTGCTGTTGTTGTGTTGTTTTTACGTGGTGTAGCGTAAACATCTAAGACTACAAAACATCTAAGACTACAAAACATCTAAGACTACAAAACATCTAAGACTACAACTAGAACGAAAACTAGGAGTTTTTGTCCTGAGTAAAAGTGATTTCTCCAGGCTAGTCATGTTTGATGTTTAATAAATAATTATATATATATATATATATATATATATTTTACTGATTCCGTTTAGTTAAGATTTCCTTGGATGCTGATGCCAAGAGAGAGATTTTGTTTTCTGACTTAAAGTTTCGAAAGGTAATTCCCACACATTGCTTCTCGCACGTCTCTGTCAAATACTGTTCCTTTATCTGAATATAAAATCACTATGATTGTAAGTGTATGGTGTCTGCTTTACACTGAAAAGATTTTATCATGGACTTACCCAGTTTCGTTACCACAGGGCCCCGTCAGCACCCTCCTGACCCACATTCACCCAAGGACGACGTAAGGTGACTGAACCTCTGACTCAGTCCATGACACTGCCAAAATAATAATAATAATAATAATAATAATAATAATAATAATAATAATGCATCTGTTTTATTAAAGTTTTGAGCTGTTAAATATTGTTCAGTTTATTATTTCCTTTATTGACAATACAAAAGAAAACATGTATTGAAAGGTAATGAGGACAGGAGGAAAACACCAGTGACACAGAAATTAGTTTGGTTTTTTTAAGTTTGAAAAGTGTAGAGCTTGTGTCAGATGAGAGACAGAGCACACCCACTGTGTCACAGTATAAACTGTGAGAACATCAGAGCAGAGGAACAGAGGGAGCCTCACTGAGAGAGACAACATGAAATCAGTGAGTATAGACCATTTCTTAAACATGCTTCATACAAACATTGTACTGTAAGCAACATACAATTTTATTAATTATTATACGTGTAAAGAATTGTTGTTTTTCTTATAGTATAAGTATAGAAAGATATATTTTCATATTTTAACAAGAAGTCTGTTGCTAGATCATTTTACTCATCAAGTGAAATTTACTCAAATCATGATAAAACTTTCTTAATTCAAGTCATCTTAATTTTTTTAAATCTAGATTTTAGTTTTTGTTGTTTACATTGTGCAGCACTGCAGATCCTTATCACATCAGACTTTTTACGAGGATGTTAATAATGCTTAAAACTCTTCCCAGAACCATTTGTGTGCTAAGTAGTGTAAGTTAAATGTCTTAAAAGTGAAAATGCAGAATTTAAAACTTATAGGTTAAAACATATATTTATTACTTTTTCTTCTTCTTTCATCTGTTTTATTGATTTATTTATTCAATTACGGCTGCAACGTATTTTAGATGACAATTGTCAGCTATTATTTCTTTTGTTAGACTTTTTTTTTAAATACATTTTTCACCGTATGACATAATAATATGTATTTATAAAAATCACAAATAGTTCTTTTTTGTGGTTTTGATTTAATAATGTTAATAATGTTAATAATCTTTGTGAAAAGGTCTTTTAAGCATGTGTTTTAGTGTCTTTAAAGGTGCATTGTGTAACTTTTCACCTGCTTCTCTCCATGGAGATACCGTTTGCGTTTGCTCAAAGTTATTGGGCAAATGCAAGATGGATACGTTTAATGCCATGCTGGGACATTTCAGACGAAACAATAACATCTTCATGAAGAAAAGCAGGTGGCAAATCCTTTATCAGAAAAGTTACACAGCACACCTTCACAGTTCAAATAATGGTTAGTCTGATTTATTGTTGTGCCCTAATTTGTATACACCTCTCTCTGCTGTCGTGTGTCTCAGGTATTCAAGGCTGTATTGCTGCTGGTTCTGCTCACTCCTCTTCACTGCAGAAAACTCCAAAAGGTCCAGACCAGAGGGATGAGAAGAGCAAAAGGTCGGACCGTGAAGCTGATCCTGGACCCCTCCCTCTCCACACATGTGTCCTCAAACCTCCCCCTGTCCCTCAGCAACTCAGCCAACATGTCTTTGTCTCCATGGATCTACAGGTAAGACCCTCTGTGCCCCACCCTCTCTCTGGGTTTCAGATCACATCACAACATTCTATAGGCCAGGGGTCTCCAACCTTTTTCCTCCAGTGAGCTACCGTTACAAAACAAAAATGCCGGAGAGCTACTCATTTTAGCGGCCGTAAAAATTGAGACGATTATAAGAAAGAGGGTGAGCCTGTGAAACATAAACCACTGTGCATTTATTAGTGAAAAATGAAGGGCTTCAGAATTATAGATTTACAATAGTAATAGGCATGTTATTATAAAAAAAAAAAAAAAGTATTTCCCTCTTTTCCCTTTATTTATTAATTAATTCATTTACTTATTTATTTATTTAATTAATGTACTTAATATTATTATTATTATTATTGTTATTATTATTATTGTTTTTATTATTATTATTATTATTATTATTATTATTATTATTAATTAATAATAATAATAATAATAATAATATATAATATATATATATATATATATATATATATATATATATATATATATATATATATATATATATATATAATTATTATTATTTCCAAATCCCTTGAAGGGGTTGGAGAGCTACTGGTAGCTCCAGAGCTATACCCTTGCTATAGGCCAATAATATTTAAAGCTGACCTATTATGCAAAGCTTTTCAGAGGTTTTTACCATGTTATAGCTATTCCCTCTTCTCATTTACCCTCTGGAAGTTGTATTTGGCGTGATGCATGTTTGAGTAATTTTTAATCACTTATTTTCAAGATGCCATATTGCCGATCAACCTCCATTTTCTCCCCCACCATCAGTATATTCCCACTGCTCTGTATTTAACTCCGTTCTCCAATTTTATTTTCTTAATCTGTGATACACTTAAGATTCAACAGCATCACATAGTAATTTTGGTTAAAAAAAATAAAAATAAAAAAATCTACTGTTTGCTTGCGTGCACAGATCAGAGGTGCTATCAGCTCCCAGTGGGCACCGCAGTTTCCTAATGTGGAAACCAGTGGACTTAAAATAAATATTGCGAAAATATGCAAATGATGATCCATAGGTGTCATAGATTATAACTAGTTTTGTAGTGTTTGTGCGTGCTTAGGATCTGATTAGACTGAAACAACACTGGGTCAAAACCAACAGGTGTAAACCACATGGACTAAGACTAATCCAGGTTTGTAGTCATTATTTATCTATGTACACTGACAACTGCACATCCACCCAGTTCTCATACACTTAGACATCTACAAGGGAAATCATTTGTCTTTCGTAACATTGCCCTCAAGGCCCTGAAATTGGCCATGGGAAAGCTCGGTCAGACGTTGTAGAATGGTGCAACTATAGTCTTCTGGATCTAGACTAAAGAAGTGATAATTGAGCTCTGGAGGAAAGCCCAGATCATTTAGGATTATTCACGCAAGGGGAGAATTATGTTTGAGTGTGACATAAACACTGACCTATCTTTTACGGAAATCCACTTATTTTAATGTGTCCAAATCTATTATTTTGAACTCATCATTGCTTTATTTACAGCTTTTTAGACTTAGACAAATTTTATTGACCCACAAGGGAAATTATTCAGATGCATCACAATACATTATGACCTATATACAAGAGCAAACTGCAAAGATGAAATAGTGATTGACATAGGGTTATCTATTACATAAAGTTGACTGATATTTCTCATTGTGCTGAGCTGTAGATGCCTGTTTTAGAATTAGTTCCTTTTTCTAACCTTTTATTTTATTAGATGGTTTTACAATATGTCGTTTAAGGATAAGAAAAGTCAGAACAGTGATGTAAAGATCAGTTCCAAAATCACAGATATCCAAGTGCTATAGATGTCCTCTAGGTGGCGCTATCTTATCTCCTTTATTCTAAAGACCACCAAGCTTCTAAACTCATCAAATCTCATCAAAAACATACCTGGAGCTGTGTTTTGTTTCATTCACACATGTCTGAGTATCCCTTAGTTATTAGTCTGTCTACATCTGCAAAGCTCAAAATTCTCTGTTCCACCTTGTGATGTCATAAAGTGGTAGTTTTCAAGTGAACAACTCCTTTTACCTTTTATTCAGTGATAAAAGATCAGAGACAGATAATTCTAAGGCTGAAAAAAAAAACCATTATAACATAGATCAGAAAATAGAGGAACTGAGAGCATGTGTCTATACTTTCTACCCCATTACATTTATGAACAGGTAAAAAGAAAAGTAATGATATTTTTTATTATTGGTTAAGACCTGCTAAAAAGTCTGAGAGTTTATTTTTTAACATGTTCGTAGTTTGAGCACACAACAATATACAAAGAAAACGTGAAAAAACTAAATTCACCAAAAACAAAAAACAAAATGCATCCCAAATCTTTATCAAAAACACAACACTGATGCTTTATTAGATCTGAAAATCTGCGTGAAATATGTTTACTTTTTACTCTTCAAGTCCATTTTTAAACATATGCTTTAATACTTTTACTTAAGTGGATTTTTTCATGTGATACTTCCATTTTTTTCAAAATTCAAAATTGAGTACTTCTTCCACTTCTTATTTCATATTTGCTCTGATTCTCTGTCAGGGTGAGTTTGACCCACTGACCGATCAGATCACATTCTGGTCAATCAACACTCTATTTTGACCAATGTTGATTTTGTTTGATTTTCTAACTGTTTCTGCAGTTCAAATCAACAACTTTTATTGGCAACGACTGTAATTTTAAGCTGTCCATGAGTCCCATTGACTTACATTGAAAAAATGTCACCCCCCCTTTCTGTAACTGTTGCGGTGATCTTTGTCATTTTGGTCTTAAAATGTTCATATTAAAGGAACAGTTCAGAATTTTGGACATAGGACCTCATTTCCTAGTGAGTCAGAGTGTTGGAGACGTGTGGAGACACTTTAAAAAAAAATTCCATCCAGTCCTTGTATTTGCAGAGGTCGCTATTGCTAGGCTAGTGCATGTCAATGGCCATAGTTAGCCTGCCACTAAAAACAGTTTTACCCACTCCACAAAACACCCGAAACAAAACAATTATGACACCAGACTGTTGATGTGAATGTCTATGTCAATAGAAAAAATTTAGAAGTTAAACCAACCTTGCATTTGAAGGATTTATGTCTGAGCAGGAGCAGCGAGATGTACTTCCTGATAGAAAACTTGGAACTGGCGGACTGATATATGAGAAAATAGTACTTCAACATGTGCCGATTCGTGCGATGCAAGTTTAGTTTTATTTCTTCATTCTATCAACACAGACATTCACATTGATAGTCTGACGTAATAACAGATTTGTTTCGGGTGTTTTGTGGAGTGGGTAAGACTGTTTTTAGTGTAACTATGGCCACTGACTTGCACTAGCGTAGCATCAGTGACCTCTGCAAATACAACTACTGGATGGAATATTTAAAAAAGTGTCTCCACATGTTTCCAACACTCTGGCTAACTAGGAAATGAGGACCTATTCTCTTTAACCCACTCTACATGATCCTATTCATAATATAGAGACGCCAGTTTCGCTCTTATAACCTCTAGCATCGTGAGCCTCATTTGGAGCCAAATGCTATCGATGATGTCACACTCGCTTAGTCGGTCCACTTCTTTAAACAGTCAATGGTTTTGATGCTACTACACTAAATAGTGAATCTTAAAAAAAGTAAAATCTCTTTTGTACTGCATGCCACTCCTCATAGTTTTACTGAATTTGTGTAAACTACATTCACATTTATACATGTCCCGAGAACAAACTTAGGAGTATAATACATTGCTATAGTAAATATAGATGATAAACGATAATGAATTTAATTTATGTCAATGGCGCAATAACCCAAGAGCAGATTTAAACCACAAAAACTATTCTGAATGTATAAAAACATAAGCTGCAATGAAAAAGGAGCAGAATAAAACACTTGAGTACTGTAAAGAGTCATAGAAGTTATTAATTCATCTATGCCTTTACAGTTTAAATCTTATCTTATGGTCAAAAAATAACCAAAAATGTCTCAGTGGTGCAAAGAAAATGCACACATGATAAATATTGACCCCTGCAAAAATGTTGTTCTGGCTTTCATTCCATATATTGAACAATAAGTTGATATAGTAATTATGGTGACAGGTTTAACATTTGTGCTCTGTTTTGTTGTTCAGAAAGCGTTGTGATCCATCGCGTGTGCCTCAGTGTCTGTACCACGCTGAATGCCTGACCATGGGCTGTATAAATCCTGAAATCGGAGTAGAGGATCTGAATCTGGAGGCCAAACCCATCAAATATCAGCTCTTGGTCCTGCACAGGTAGTGAGTTTTAATTATTTATTTATTACTTTATTTTACAGTGTACCTTAATAAACATTTCTTTTAATTGTATCAGAATTAACCTAACTGGCTGTTTTCCACCTGTTGTCCCTTTGTAGATGTTAAAAAGTCACAATAAAAGCCAGACAATATTAGAATACATAGAGAAACACAGATACAGAATTGAGTATATTAGCATCAAAATGTCACAAAATCAGTATGACAAAAGACTTCATTATGATTAATAAGAATGATCCAGGCTTAGTTCATTAAAGGTGCATTGTATAACTTGTTGTTGATGTTCCTATGGATTGCTCTGCTTAGAATGTTCCACAGTATGATATTAAACCGCTCTACCTTGCATTTATTCAATTACAGGTGGTTTTATAGCTAAAAAATACCTAGAAAAACTGGCTTGGTCTTGATGAAGATAGAAACGTTTGATATCATACTGTGAAACGTTCCAGACAAAGCAATAACATCTCCACGTAGAAAAGCATTTGACAGACCCTCCACCAGAAAAGTTACACAGTGCACTTTTACCACCACAATTTATATGTAATCAGAAAAGTCACAAAATCATGTTTTAACAATATTAGTATGAAAATCAGACCATAGAAAACAGTTTACAGTGTAAATAAAGCAAAAGACCTCATTATGGTTAATAAGAATGATTCAGGCTTAGTTAATTAACAAGTTTGGTATTAATTACTAAGGCATCTCAAATAATTCTTAACAAACAATTTGTTCAGTATGTATCAACTCTTTCTTCAAACATTATTATGGCTAATTAAGGAATAAGGCAGTTACTATAGTTACTATACTAGCCTGTGGTATAAAACTATCGTACTGCTCATTTTCTTTCACCCATTAAATGAAAATGCCTTTACCAATACTACGACCTTCTCTTTTGATGGATTTTCATTTTGTCATATTTTACAAGTTGAAATCTCTCCTTCAGAGTCGTGCGCAAACAGAAAAAGAACTTCCACAGAGACAAGAAGCGCTACGACTTCAAGCTGGGCACGGAGGAGGTGTCTGTGGGCTGCACGTGCGTCAGGCCCAACGTGCTCACGCTCAACTGATGACGCTCACGCAAGGCTCAGGGACAAGACAACGGCGCCCCCATGTGGACACAGCCTTTAATGCTTTTGCACTTTTACAGGTTTTAGACTATTTATAAAAGCATAATATTTTACAAGTAATATAACTTTATGTTCTGTTTGGATGCCGAATACTGAGACTTTTTATTTATCATTTAAGTTTATAATGGAATAGCCTGTATAATGGAGAACCTGTAGCTTGGGAGCTACTTGTAGCTCTCCACCCCTTTTCAAGTAGCTCGCCAAGGGATTTCAGAATTACACGTATTGTCCTGAATAACTCAGATTTGATGAATGAAATGCCTATTATTACTTTTCATTTTGATGACTGATTTTGTGTATTCATAAATTAATAATGGTTTATGTTTTATCAAACTGTACCTCATCTACCGGTAAGTCTTGATATGGCTCTTATGTATACTTTATTGCCGCTAAAATTAGTAGCTCAAAGGAATTTTCGTTTTGTAAAGGTAGCTCACCCGAAGAAAAAGGTTGGAGACCCCTGTTCTACAATGACCTTTCTTACTATGACTTGTTATTGTATTTCGTTTGAGCAAAACTTTAGCAACTTTTTCATACTGTAACAATGTGTTAAGCACAAAGAAGTGAAATCGTGCCCTTCTACAGTTTTTGCTTTAAAGGGCCAATATTAAATGCCAGGTACATTAATGAGTAAAATCTTATATACATTTTTAAGATACATTTTGAGAACAAATGTTAACTGACTGCATGTTTTACACCCTTAAATGTATATTACGCAAAATTGACTCTTGTGAGCTTTAAGCCATTTTAGAATGCTTTCCCTCCTCAAAAACATACCTGGAGTTGTGTTTTGTTTCATTCACACAAGTTTCAGTAACCCTTTATTATTAGCCTGAATGCATTTTCAAAACTCAAAATGCTCTGTTCCACCTTCTGATATAATGCAGTTAGCAGCTAACTTTTACCTTTTTATTCAGTAGAAATAGGAAATTCCAGGGCTGGGATTATCTGAAGTTATCATAGTGATGGTTTTTTGAGTTTAAAAACAGAGTGGAGCACTTCCTGTATGATATCACAAGGTGGAACGAGTGTTTTCTGCATGAGAGAAGAACTCAACCTATATGCAGGGTTTGTGTGAATGAAACAGAACAGAAATTCAGGTGTGTTTCTGAAGATGAAACAACATTAACATAGCATTATAGAATATAATAGGAAATAGCCTAACTTTGTCATTTAGGATACTGGGAGACTTTAATGTTGTAAGCTGTATTGTAGATGTCATAGCTGATTTTCTAAAATGCTTCTCAAATACTGCTGTCACATTGAAGCTTGTTATGACTTGTGCTTAAATAATAAACAGAGAATAGTGAGTCTTGAATCAAGTTGCTTTTACTGACCATGCCAAAACAAGACAGTCAATCGCCATTAGACAAACAGTAGACACAGACAGAGCGCTATATTAAACCCACAACAAACCCTCGACACATGGCTCCAAAAGTCAGTATGACTCATCAAACCTTTCACTATTAGAAATCATACAATCACAGTCACATGCCAAAGCAGAGGAGCTGTCCCAGTTTCAAAACTTCCCGTTCATAGGTGCCATTTTGAGCACTTTCCACGAATCGAAAGAGATTTGGAATTATTCGTTGTTATGGCTACAGTGCTAGTTTTCCAACATTCTAAAACCCCACGTATATTCTGAACATTCAATATTTTGTGTCTGTCTTTGCATATGTGCTTATGACTTGTGCTTAGTGACAAAAAGAGTGCAAACCGTGCCCTATATTTCTAAACATGTCACTAATTGACATCTACACTTACAGTCTATTATCCCTCAGAGCCAGGCTACCCAGGAAACAGCAGAATAAAGCAGTACTTTTGTTTACTCTTCTCCCTTTTACAACAATCGCAAAAAACATAAGCTGTCTTGCATTTTCTTCGTTCTGTGATTAACATTTTCCAATTCATAAAACACAAAATACAGTTCCTCAAGAACAAACATTACAAATTTAAAATCGCAGGGTGAGATAGAATTCCACATAAATATATAAGAATAAGAGATACAAAGAAATGAGTGCAGTCAAAAATGTATTTGTGGAACTAAAGCCTAAAGTTTGATAAAGGTGCATTGTGTAACTTTTCTAATGGAGCTTCCTTGTCTCCATTGAGATGTATTTGCTTCGTCTGGAATGTTTCACAGTATGGCATTAAAGATAACAAATAAGTAGTGCTAGACGGCCAAGGTACAGTTCATATCTATGTGAGAATGCATGTTTTTAAGGTATTTTTGAGCAATAAAAACTTGTAACTGAGCAAATCCATGTACAATACCATACTGTTGATCTCTACGGAGACAGACATGTGACAAACCCCAGACAAAAAAGTTACACAGTGCAGCTTCAATAGACTGAAAGTAGATAATGATGATTCAATAAAGTTATGCCCAAAATGCATTTACAAGTCAGGCTTCCTGTGTAATATGAGTCAAACTGTAGGAAGAGATGTACATAATTGTGTATACGGTTTTAAGTTTCAAGACTGTCATTACATTACATTAATGACTCTTGACTCTGTGACTTTGTTCTATTTTCATTTCAGTTGGTAAGAAAAGAAGGTGAAAATACTAGTAGTGTACTTTTGTTCAAGGTTTCACAATAATTTTGGGGCAAATAAACAGCAATTTGGTGGATTCGGAAGGCTATTTTTTCTTTGCCACTAAAGATATTCCTTTTTTTTTTTTTTTTTTGCAAATGATCCGTGGATTTTTTTAGTTGGAAAATAAAATCTTTAACAACATTACAATTTTGTTCTGAAAACACCCAATCATTGGCAAACATGAACTGTCTGTAATATTAACATTCATTGTGATTTTTTTCTATTTTAGCACAGGTTTTTCCCTGCATTTTTTCCCTTGCCAAACAAAAACATGATAGAGCACCCTCCCGCTGTCATCTTTGAAAAACACACATTTTTGGCGTGATTTTGTACAGCTTACTCATTAACATACATCGAATATCAAAAGTTCTTGTTTTTTATGACTGTTTTGGATTTTCTTTTTGAATGAAGCCCCTCTCCTCTTCTTTCACTCCTGTCTTCTGTCTTTCTCTCCTCCGGTCTACCGACAGGCTTCCTCCTTCAGCTCCTTGTTCTTCCTCACTTCCTCTGCATGTTTGTCCTGCACACACACACACACACACACACACACACCATGGTGCGCATTAGCATTTCAGAATTCATTGGCGTTCATAAGAGAGCAGGTGCAGATTATAACCAGAAACTGATATGGGAAAATGAAAGTTTAAAGTGTGTTTTTTCTATTTTTGATTGAAAATTTTGTGATGTTTTTTTAAACTTCCTGGCTAGACACAGGCACATATGTAGAGGTAATTCTATAACTGTTACCATAATGTTAAAAAAGACCATTTCTTGTTGTGATCAGTTTTCATTCTCTCACAGAATAATGCACTTCTTCAGTTACCATATCAATGATCATAAAGTGTTTAATTACAGAATAGTGAATATTTGCCTTAAAATGTATTTTGTAACATATTGCAATACATGGTCCAATCAGAGTACTGTGTTCTGAATACTGAGAATGCTTTTACACTGAGATCCACATGAATTATAGTGTTATGACTCAATGTAGTATTAAAAACAGCTTTATATTTGTTTCACCATTTGTTCTGCATTTCCTATCACTAATTGGAGAAGAACAAACTGCACATGCACATGCTGTAAGAGGGTTGGGTTGTTTTTTTTTTCTCACTGAATTCTGTGAAGTTTGAAGCCTAAACTGATTCAAAATACCACCAAATGAAAAAGTAACCGCGCCAGAATACGGATATTCAAAATTAATATTCTTGGTACTTGTACTCAGTTACTCCCTAACACTGTCAGTGATGCATGTGCACAACTTTTTTATTATTGATATACTTTAAATATCCATATTTAAGTCTCCACACTTGATACCAAAATATGCACTGCTCAGACTTTGTTTCAGCTCATCAAACCGATGAACCGTCTGACCTCTCAGTGTTAGAATTCGTTCGCTCGACGGTAGGCGGGTACTTTTTTTCATTTAACCAATCGGTGCTATTTGGTCGTGACGTATGTAATGCACTGCTAACGGGGCTAAATGATATAGTTTTTCCCAAACCCCATAGGAAAAAGGGCAATAACTTCTTTTCCCTGGATAAAATTCATCAAACATTCCCTTTGTTCTGAGTTTAAATCCTCGATCTCGGGAATTGTTGCCAACACAGAATATATGGCTCTTCACTGATTGGCTTGTGCCTGAACTCGCACTTCTGGGTTTTTGCAAACTGTCTAGTGTATTCCAATTCCTGACCTAGTCGCTGGAGAAAAATGAAATGAGCAAAGGCACTAGGTGGCGCCAGCCTGGCTATCAAACTGACCCAAAATATGTGAAAAAATATGATTATTTTCGATCCAACTGCAGTATTTAAATTGAATTGTGGCCAGTAAAATTATATGTATTGTCCATACATTTAAATAAGTGTCATCATCATCTAAGGCTTGTCTCATCTGTTCCCATATCCCTGTTTTTTTTTTTTTTCTATGTTCTGTAGAAAGTGTAGTCATATTACTATTCTTTACAATGTGTTATTTTCAGTCGTTATATTTTGGACAGGTAAAGCAAGTTTCAAAAGGCTATTCATAATAAGTAAATATTCATGAGTAATGCTCCCTGAGTAAATCTACATCACCCAGTGTTCTATGCAAACCTCCCCTAGTCACAGTCTGTACCTTCTCCTGCAGCCTCTCCAGCATGGCCGCCAGCAGAGCCTCGCGGTTCTCCTTGTTGGCCTCCATCTTCTGCTCGAGCTTCTCCTTGGCGTTCTTGATGAAGTTGTTGTTTTCCTCGAAGGCCTTCTGGATCACCTCACGCTCGTGCTCCCTCTTCTCCGCCAAATGTTTCCGCAGCTCCGCCTCCTGGATCTACAGAGGAATCACAGGTTCATACTCATATTAATAGAGAAATATTAAAGTAATTTAAAAGTGGACATTAAGAACAATTTAGCAATAGTATTTCATATTTTTTTACTTAAAGGTGCATTGTATAACTTTTCATAGCCTTGTCCATGGAGCTGTTATTTAGATTTAAACTTGCAATATTCAATTACAGATTATATTGCTAGAATTAACTTGAAACTCCTGCATTTTTACTGTGAGTGGGGTTGCCTCTCCACAGATCTGACCTTTTTTCCTCCTTAGAGTTTAATGCCATACTGTGAAACATTCTAGGCAAAACAACAACAAGCAGGTGGCATACCCCCCACTAAAAAGTTACACAGTGCACCTTAAATTTGAATTGATAAAATTACACAAAATAATCAACAGTTAAAATGTGGTCACAGGTGCCTTGGGGCAGACGAACAGCTGTGTGACTGGAAATCTGTGCCCCCAGACAGCATATTTTTATTTGCCACTGTCCTTTCATGAAATGTATGAACAGACCTAAAAACAATATCTAAAACAAATCTTTGAATACCAATCCTTTGTTTTGGAAACCGTGCCTGAATATATAATGTAATATACACAGTGCAGCATACAAGTGAATTAAAGATGCACTATGTAAATTTCTTGCTTGTCTCCATAGCGATGTAATGGAATATTCTATGGTATTACATGCAGGCGAAGCCACCAAACCAAGTCAAAGGTCAGACTGATAAAATAAGATTGATTGATAGATTTAATGCCATAATGTGGAGCATCCAGACACAGCTATACTATCTCAGATCACCAGAAACGTGACATAGTGCATCTTTAAACAGATCTCCATAATATCCTGTGTTTTGACTGGTCCAGAATTGTTTTAGAATCCATTAGGATCAGACTGGGGGCTGTTTTTAGCTGAGCGCTGATTGATAGACATACTCCTCTCTGTGCTCTGGTGAATGCAGCCTTTGTGTGCTCTCATCTCCCTTTCATCTGCCCTGCTCCCTTGTCTCCTATCTCCTCTGTCCTACCTCCTTTCCTCTCTCCTCTTCTCTCCTCTCGTCTTTCCTCTCATCCTCTTTCTCTGATCTCTCCTGAGATACTCACAGCTTCCTGATAAATCACTGTGGCTACAAAGGCTGATGTTGGTCCTTGACAAAGCTCCAATGAACCACAAATAGAACAGGTTGTCTTTGCGCCTGGTTCACGTTACACTGAAAACAAAACTCGAGTGATTTCATTGTGCTGCAGTTCTGGAAATCACAAAAGATTTTCAACAAAATTATCCATGAAAAAATATTAAAACTAATATCTGACAGCAGTTAGCTCTATACAGTTCAGTACTACTGCTTGGCTCATTGGTGATTTGGTTCAGGGTGGGGATTGATTTTTTAAAGAAATGTTTTATTTATTTTGTTTTATTTCATCTGTGAAAAAAGCAGGGTTTATAAGATTTATCTTCTTCCCATTCCTTTTGTTCATGGCAGCAAAAACAAGGCAAAAATAATAATTGGAATATGAATTTCTTAATTGTTAGATTTTTTTGGTTCTCTTTAAATTGATGCCAACAAAATAATAGTATGAGCAATAAATTAATAAGTAAATAAAAACTGGCTATACTCACACCTATTCACAGTTTCAGCTCAGATATTAAACATTTTTAGGACCATTCACCATTCAAAGGACAGGATTTTCTGTTTTAAATAGTTAATTTCAGTCCTAATTTTTCATCATTCTGAAAATGTTATTTCATATAGATCCCCAATAGTTATAAATCATCTCATTTACAAAAACAGAGAAATACTTTTGTAAGTGGATCATTTTACCTGAGGGTCAGAAAACAAAATTAATTGATAAAAGACCAATATAAAAATCTACTTCTAACACATATCACACACAGCAAATGTTTAATCTTGTATGTATCAGTGGGTTTCAGAATTATGAAAAATATGATATGCTGTGAAAAAAAAAGCCCTCAAAATGTTGCATATGATAGGAAGCTGAAGCCATGAATAATGAATATAATGTTGGCTTCTAGTTCTTAGTTCTTATATTCAAAGTTCCATACCCTCCTCCTCTCCTCGGCAGCCTCCAATTTCTTCTGGATCTCCTCCAGGGATGGGTCTCTGCGCTGGGGCATGGAGGTGTTGAGTTCGGGGGCTCCGTCGAAGGAGGGGGGCTTCAGGATCACCTCAAAGGCCTGTCCTGAAGCACGCTTGTTCAGCTCGATCACCTCCACATCTTTGATACTGCACCAGCCCAGGTCCACCGCATCTGAGCACAGGTAAACACAAGACTTACTGCACGTACTACGGTAACAACACAACAGCTATCTACTTTTGTACATTTCAACTTTATCTGAACTGCACTCTGTTCGTCACTGGACTCTGTTATGATTACAGTGTCTTAAATGTATTTCTTTTCACTATTAATGTCTGTTAACACCCAGTTGCAGAATGACTGGACTCTCCACAGACCTGCCTTGTAAGGAGATTTAAATTTTAATTTAAAGTTTTTGTCACTTGTAGACTTACTCACAGTGCGAAGAAAATCCAAAACATCTACTCAAGTAAAAGTATTTTTACACTGTAGAAACTATTACACAAGAAGTAATAGTATGGTGTCTTTTTTTATATGGACATAGCAATTACATTGGATGAGACCAGATCTGCCACAAGGCTTCTGACCTGCACCAGCATGACCGCGCATATCACTCCGATCTTAGAATCCTGACTTTGGCTCCCTGTTCTTTTTTGTGTCCACTTTAAGATCCTTGTGCTGACCTTTAGTGCCCTACATGGCCAGGCTCCTGCCTATATCTCAGATCTGATAAAACCATACACCTCTGACTGTAGCCTGAGGTCTACGAGCCAAAACCTGCTAATGGTCCCTTAGACAAGCTTTAAAATGCGAGGAGACAGATCCTTTCAAGCCTTCTCCCCTAAACTCTAACCTATCTACGCTCTCTGGATAGTGTAGATCAGGGGTCATCAAACTAAGGCCCGCGGGCCGACTCCGGCTCGCCACGTCCCTTTAACCAGCCCTCCAGCCCCTCTGCCCCAAACCACTTGAACTGGCCCTATGAAGTATTCCTCAAAAGTTGTCATGGCCTATTTTTTTTTATTACTTTTTGGCAACTTATAACATATCTGCATGTTGTATTTTATTGATTTTTTTCACTTAAAAAATTATGATAAAAAAGTATGATTATATGAAGAATATATATTTAAATAATTATATGACATATTTACATTTGCCTCCGAATTTGCCGCTGAATTTTCATCACCTGACAAGCTTGAGATCAAGCAGTGACACGCGCAGAATTCTGTAGTGCAGTTAAAGACAGCAAAATGACGAGTGTTAAAGTACGAAAAATTGACAGAGAATGCCGAGTTTTCAAAGAACAGTGGACAACTGATTATTTTTGTGTTCAGTGTAAGGACCGTGCAGTTTGATATGTAAAGAAAATATGTCAGTTTTCAAAGAATATAATCTGCATCATCACTACAAAACCCGCCACAAAGAGTATGCAGGCTTGCGAGGGCAAATGAGAGAAGATAAGATTTGGCGGATGAAAGGAGGACTGGCTGCTCAACAGCATGTATTCCTTCGTTGGCCGACCCGACCCTGGCCCTCCATCACCGTCAGGAGCGATAATGTGGCCCCCAGAGAAAAACGTTTGGTGACCCTTTGTGTAGATGCTTTTAAAAAACAACTAAAAACGTTCCTCTTTGAACAAGTGTTCCCATCCCCTCAGGTTTAGAGCTGTTATGACTGATTTTATTATGGTTGTATCTCATGCCGTTTTTTATATTTTGTATGTGAAGCACTTTGTGACCTAGTGGTATTTAAATAAAGTTTACTTACTTACTAACTTACTTACTTGCTTACTTAAAGATATAATGTTTTAAGAGTTTATAGCAATTTTCAACACCTTTTCTCAATTTAACTTTTTAGGTTTTCTGTATTTTAAGCAGTATTTGTTCATGTAAACCTATAAACACATTATTTATTCACTACAGTTCTGCCACATGACTTACCCTCTGCTTTGTACGTGTTCTTCTCGATCTGTGGGTTGAAGCAGGAGCAGAATAGAGACACCAGGGGGAGCTCTTTCACCTTCTCTTTGTAGGCTAAAGAAACACAAGAACACATGCACTCTGTAACCTTCATCTAAACCATGAGACAGCACATATGCACAGACAGGAGGACAGGGCCACTGGGACACGGAGTTTTGAGATTTTAATAGTGATGTGAGGCTATTTAAAAAACAAATGCCCTTGTCATGTTGGAGATTTACAAACTAGGATTAGAGAGAATAGGTGATGTAGTGAAGCTGATGTCTCCAGTTCTGACCATAGACTATAAAGATGTAGACCATACTGTTTGGCCAGTCAAATGAGGCTTACAGAGGCTAGAACTTATAACTTGAGTCAATATTTTTAGGATTGAGACTTTTCAGAATTCTAAGCTATATTTGGTACTTTGGTTTAAAGACTTGAAATGACTTGAAGTTCAAAGCAGACGACTTGCACTTGACTTGACTTATGGGCTAGTGACTCGAGTCTCCACTTGGACTTGCTTGTATTTGACTTGGGACTTGACTTGGACTTGAGCTCAAAGACTTGAGACTTATTTGACACCCACAAAACAACGACTTGTTCCCACCTCTGGTAATCACAGAGAGAGGGGCGACGTTTTTCAATGTAAAGTCAATTGGAGCCAGAGTAGATGGACCCAGTAGTCCCCCCATACTCACTTCCTATTTGGAACGATGCGGCTAGCGGTTAGTTATGTCCATTTACAGTCTATGGTTCTGACCCTAAAGCATCTTTTCCTCGTTTATTTTACTGTAATGGTTAGATGTAAGCCTGAAATTGGGATGAAGAGCTGGTAGAGACATTCAGTAGATTTTCAGAACCGGGAATCAATCTCACACACACAAGTCATCCAGTTATTAAATAAAATAATCAAATATAAAATATAGTAAAACTCTCATATGGCAAGAATTTTGAAATAATGATGTGATAATAATGAATATGAGTATGAAATAATAAATGTGGTTGAGAAACTGCAATCCTGGTTTTGGTATGGTTCAGACTTTTTATTATTTGTGCAGTGGAGTAGAAAATAGCAGTGTTTACCTGCCAGCGTCATCTTGTCACTGTGTCAGGGGTCTCTGCAGGAACTCACCTTCACTCTGTCGAAAACACAGGAGTCTCATTAAACACCATTAAGAAAGAGCGCATTTTAAAGGTCACACACTGCAGTGGGCTTGTAGAGACAGTACACAGGTCGAAAGATTTATGTACTGCACTGCTACTACAGTGTATACCACTATATTACTATATTGGTAGTACTCCTGCTATATTGTTACTTTATCAACAGTATCCTCCCATATGCTAAAGGCTGACACAGTATTACAATACATACGCTCATATTCAATATTTTAGCGACAATAGTGTTTGTCCTCCAAATCTCACTCAAAGCTGCTCTGTGTAACTTTTCTGATAGGTGGTTCGTTGTCATGGCATTCTGTGGTTGCCATGATCGTGGTTAGCCTGATTCATCAGCCGGTTTCACTTCGTAGAAACCGTCTGACCGCGCAGTGTTAGAATTTGTTCTCTCGACAGTAGGCGGGTACTTGTTTTCCATTTAACCAATCGCTGCTATTTGGTCATGATGTATGTAATGCTCTGTTAACGGGGCTAACTGGTATATTAAGCTTGTCCCAAATCCTGTAGAAGGAAGGGCAGTAACGATAAAATTCACTTAACATTCTCTTTGTTCCGGCTTTAAATCCTCAATCTCAGGAATCGTTGCCAACACAGAATTGATTGTTTATTGATTGATGGGGATGGTTATTGTTTGTCCTGGTCATGGCATTGAACCGAACTATCCTGTATTTATTCAATTACATACATTTTTATAGCTCAAAAAATACATTATTATGCGTGGGGTCACCTCTCCACTGATCTAACCTGTAACTTGGGGCCATCTCTTTCCATGAGGATAGATAATGCCAAAGTGACCGTCCAGAAAAGTGACAGATTCATGAGTTCATGGCTGAGATGAGTGAACAACATGGCTCACTCCTTTTGCAATGATTGGTTTGAACAGGGAGGGTATCTGACTTTTACATTTCACTATTTTAAACTTTGGGCGGTGTGAAGTAGCAGTTCACTTTTCATAGTTTTTGACAGTGGACCTTTGGCGAGCTGCAGTGAGGAGGACCGTGTCAGGAGTAAATCTGAGAAGAGCAAAGGAAGTATAAATAACAGAAGGAAAGGAGAGAACCAGGACTCACAGTGTACTGCAGTAAACGGATTCAACCAGGGACAGATTTATGTCAGAAATCAAGTGTGCAATATTCATCTAATGCATATTCAGCAGGATTTCAGCAGTGGAAACAAGTGTAAAAGACAGAGAGAACGTGGGAGGGAGAGAGAGGAGAAAGACAATGGGAAAGAAAGCAAGAATGGGAGAGTGGAAGAAAGGAAGGGAGAGAGAGAGAGAGAAAATGAGAGAAAGTGGAAGAGAGAGGAAGGGAGAGAAAAGGAGACAAAGAGAAAGACAGGGGAGAGTGGGAAAGGGGGGGCAAGGGGAGACAGAGAGAGAGAGAGAGAGTTGGAGAGTGGTAGAGAGGAAGAGAGAGGGAGGAAGAGATATGGAGGGAGAGAGAAGGAGACAAAGAGACAAAGACGGAAGAGTGGGAGAGAGGGAAGATGGGAATGACAGAGAGGAAGAAATGAAGAAAGAGTGAGAAAGAGTGAGGGAGAGAGATGGGGGAGAGTGGGAGAGAGAGACAGGAGAGTGGGGAGAGATGGAGAGAGAGAAAGATAGTGGGAGAGAGGGAAAGTAGCAGAGAAAGGAAAAGGGAGGGAGAGAGAAGGCGAGAAAGAGAGAGAGACAGGGGAGAGTGGGAGGGGGGCAAGGGGAGACAGAGAGAGAGACAGTTGGAGAGAAAGAGAGTGGGAGATAGAGAAAAATAGTAGCAAGAGTGGGAGAGAAAGCGAGAGAAAGTGAGAGAGAGAGAAACAGTGGGACAGTAGAAGAGAGAAAAGATGGCAATGACAGAGAGAGAGAGGAAAGGGAGAAAGAGTGAGGGAGCGAGAGATGGAGAGAGAGATAGAAAGAGATGGGGGAGAGTGGAAGAGAGAGAGATGGACAGGGGAGTGGGGAGAGGGAGAGACGGAGAGAGAGAGAGAAAGCAAGAGACAGTGGGAGAGAAAGAGAGAGTGGGAAAGAGGAAGAGAGAGGAAGAGAGATAGAAAAAGGGAGAGGGAGGGAGAGAGAAGGAGACAAAGAGAGAGACAGGGGAGAGTGGGAGAGAGGGGGAGGGCAAGGGGACAGAGAGAGAGAGAGACAGTGGGTGAGTGGGAGAAAGAGATGGGGGAGAGTGAAAGAAAGAGAGAGAGAGGCAGCAAATGGTCAGAGCAGACACCACCTGTTCCCACTCCACACGTCTGTCAGACTGTGCTCATCCAACCATGATAGATGAATGAATATTTTTATCATTACTTGAAAAAAGAAATATTACTGGTTAACATAACAATTGTATTACACCAAAATATTTTGCAGTGTGCAAGATTAGTTGTTTTTGTCTCAACCACTGATAAAAAAAAAGTCAAATTTTCTACTCTTCTTCTGATCTGAGCAAGTACCCTGTACCGTATGTACCTTTTGCAGAATAATTGCAGAATAATTTCAAAGTGAAGTTGGATTGGTTTTAAGTTGTGGTGGAAAAGATAATGAGCCCATATGTAAAACTGAGAAAAAGTCCAAAGGTTATTTTTGCATAATAAATTCTGTTTGTAACAAAATGTACCCTGTGGCTACAACAATACTGAAAATTTAAATGCTATTCCAGATTCACATGGCCTCTTTGATGACTTCTTTCAAAATTTTCTGTATAAATGAATACCAATGAATACAGTCATGATGATTTGGAGTTACACTACAAACAACACATTATACCAGCAAGAAAATTCAGAAAAGAAAAATTAAATAAAATATGAAATTCTCTCAGTAATTCTCCCAAATTCTGGCATGGCTTCTCTTCTAACTTCTTAATAAACACATTTAATTAGGTTTGTCAGCATGAAGATCGTGTTCACAGCTGCCGTTTCCCTCTGGCCCTGAACGCTCCGAAACCCTCTGCCTGTTTGGGATCAGTATCACAGCATTAGCAGGAGCTCTAACTGCATTAAGAGTTTCACTGGAGCTGAAACTCAGATTTCCTGCAGCTCCACTGGCTCCTGAAGTGGTCCTAATGTAATCAACACCAAAGAGGAGATAACCCAAATGAAACAGCCACCTCCTTTGTATCTATGGGAGGTTTTAACGGCGATGTTAGCTCCTGTAGCGCTATTACTAGTGTCACTTTTTAGTGGTCCGTGCTCGGTTGCCAGGAAACACTGTGTCACCATGTCCTGACAGGTCTGTGTAAAAACGCCATGGCCTTCTATGGACTAAACTATGTGTGTTTTAAAATATTGTTCTATGTCTTTGTAACCGTTTTGTTCGGCCCCAGGGGTACAGCTGTGGGACCTCTACTTGTTCTCTATGATAGATTCACAGGGGGGCCCCTCTCCTGCACCGAGCCCTGAGTAAAGTAATCTTCCCTTTACCCTTTAACCACTGTGTCACTGTTGCCCCAAGAAAGAGTGAGGAAGTATATGTATATAAGTACATGATAGGACAGCAGTCTAACTTTGCAAAAACATTTATCTGAACTATAATTTCTCAAATAAATACAGAACAATAAAGGACTACTCCACACAACTTTACAACAACTAAGTCTTAAAAGGCCCATATCATGGTATTTTCTGATCTAAGTTGTAACGTTGTTTCTTCATTAAAAAAAAAAACAAACCTTTGACCCCTTAACGCCTGAATTTATATAGATGTATATATATAAAAAAAGTTTTGTGTGTGTTTTTTCCTTTAAGTAGATGGTAAATTAAGTTGAGATTATTAATGTGACTATAGCAAAAGAAAAGAAATAGAAATTTGGGTATGTTGCAAATTTGCGACAACTAGAAACAAGTGCTTGCCAAAGGTTTCTAGGAAGGTACTCCATATGCACTAACTAATCTCGACTGATATCTTGATCCAAATGGTTTGCCGCATATTTGTGACACTCAGCATTAAGG